GGTCATAGGTTTTGTCAGTAATGCTCGAGTATCTGTAATGGAAAAAACGAAAACGTAGAAATTCAGAAACCCTCTACATAGCAACTAGTCACTACCAACATTATCTGTAAATAGAGGGGGAAAGCTCAAGAGATTGGAGAAGTGAAAAGTTCATATTTAAATTTATGTTTTAATTTCAACTTACCCTTGTGCATTTTCCATTTTCTAAATTCAGATAGAAACATCCATTTCTCCTAAAAGAATTCTTTGCTTAGAGAGACAAGAAATTTCTTTTTTAATCTTTGGTTTAAACTTGAAGAAAATGGAATAATGAGAGCATATATTAATGCTTCTCTATAGGTAGAATTTCCCGAAACTGAACAATAAGCAGCTTTCTAGAAAATTTTACTTATTATTGTGATTTGAACCCTAATGGTCCAGTGATTACAGTGGTCTCAACGAATGGGAAGGTCAGCAGTTCAAAGTTACCAGCTGCTCCACAGGAGAAAGATAGGGCAGCCTACTTCATAAAACTTTAGCCTTGAAAACTCTTATGGGGCAGTTCTACTCTGCCCAATAGGTTCGCATAGAGTTAGAGTCAACTCAGTGGCTGTGGGTTGGGTCTGGTATTATAATGACTGAGAATGAATGCTTTCTATTTCATTGTTTTCTTCTCAGCTTAAATTAGTTCATTTCATTTTTTTCTTTTTGATACCAGGAGCCTCCCAGTTGCACGAAAAGGTGCTGTGTCAAGTGCTCTCTATATGGCTTGGTTAGAAGCTCTGTCTAAGGACCTGCCACCAATCCTCCTAGTCCGTGGGAATCATCAAAGTGTGCTGACCTTCTATTCATAAAGGCTCTCGACACATGGACAGCCTAGTGCCTAGTGAAAACTGAAATCTTCAATAACAAGATAACATCACAATGACAAACTGACATTCCTTTCACTACTTCATTGATTTGAGAGCACACGGGAAGTTGCTCCAGGATGTGTCAGTTTGCATCACTCGTAATGAATGACGGTTCCTTGTTGGGCAGAAGCTCATGAGACTGAAGTTTTCCTTTGCTGCTTAAATAGCAATAAAAATACGTGTTATTTTTTGATCGATGAAAGGAGTACAAAAGCCTTTAGCCTTGAGGTGCCTTCTGAAATTAACCAAATTTCATCCTTTTATAAATTTATATAATGTCAAACATTGCCTTCAGACATTTTTATTTCTAGTCTCTTCCATCTTAAAATAAAAATAGTTGCTACGTTACTTTTCCATTGACCAATTAGTGTTGAGCATTATGTTTCTGTTTGCTTTTATAAAGGTATCTGTTAGATATTAAATATGGGAAGTAGAGCAGTTAATGAGTAATGCAAAAGAAAAAAAATGAGAACAAAAACTGGCCCCAAAGTTGGCTTTGTATGTATCAATACAGATGTAAAGACAGAAGGGCTCAATACACCTTTTGTCGCCCCCTCTCTTGCATTCGCACTTGTTGATGTTTTTTTTTTTTTTTTTTTTCCCCTCAAAACTTG